GGAGGTGAGTATCGTACGGCATCACACAGTATTTATAGGAGGGGGATAGATATCAGTCATGCTAACCCGGTGGTAATTATAGGGGGGAGGGGGTGGTTAATCGGCTTTGGCGCTAATGGCCCGTTGGCGCTAAACCGTTGCGTCGCCCTCCCGACAGCATACCAAGCCCTCCGGACGCAGCTCAACGAACTAAAGGGCAAGCGCGAGGTCAGGCCGGACGTGGATCTAAACACGGGAGAGCCTACGACGGACCTGCACGTAGCCACACCGCAAATCGGGCCCGACGAAGGCGCAGTCATCAATACTGTTGCCTCAACTACTACTCCGGCAGACGGGGAGAAACGCGATCAGAGGGATGCAATTAAGACTAGCAACCCAGCACGACAATTAAGGTCAACGCGAATGCGGGCGATGGCCACCAACGTTCAAATGCCGCCCCCCGACGAGAGACAGGCAGATTGACAGCAGTCACCCTCCCTCCCGCTCTGCCCCGGCGACTACAGAGACGATCCCTGTGCGTATGCGGGCCATTAGCGCCAAAGCCGATTAACCATCCCCTCCCCCCTATAATTACCACCGTGTTAGCATGACTGATATCTATCCCCCTCCTATAAATACTGTGTGATGCCGTACGATACTCACCTCCGACGATGAAAGCTTGTCTGCTTTTGAAACGTCAGGACAATACAATCATGGTTCCCGAGATCGCCTCTTCTTCTCATACATATATATATATATATATAATGTTAGGGGACGCTCCCCGATCGTTCATACGGAACTCACTCGTTCCGTTGTGCCTTAAGGGCTCTCTCTCGAGCCCAACCAGCAGCCGCACAGCGGCGCATGATATATAGGCAGAATGATATTACCGACAAAGACGAGGGAGAGAGAGCCCTTAAGGCACAACGGAACGAGTGAGGTCCGTATGAACGATCGGTGAGCGCCCCCTAACATTGTATATTCCCGATCGAAAACCGACAGGGCAACGGGCTCGTGGCCCGGTGAGTAGAGGCGTTGACTTCTAAACCAACAGGTCGCGAGTTCGAGGCTCGGGTGTTCCACACTTCGGGCTTGGGTATGGCTGGCTGACGACGGCTAATAAGCCAGAAATGGCCATTCCAGTCTCCCTTGTCTTTGTCGGTAATATCATTCTGCCTATGTATATATATGTATATATATGCTGAAAAAACATCCCAACCCTCTGTGATTTTCACGTTGGGTGGAATTATAACGATTAACTTAGATAACGTTTTCGACTAATTTCATGCGTTTGTATGAAAAAACTTCCACAAAGTGTTCCTATTTCACTTCGTCAAAAATTAAGTCTCCTTGTAAGTAATGCGCCGTTATCTAGAGCTATTCCACGGATGTTTACGCCGCATCATCAACAAGAGCCGCTGCTTCATGTGGGTAGAAGAAAAAATATCTTTGCATATGTTTCAGGGCAAAACTGTCTACTTAAATAACCATTCAATAGGGACCTTGTGTGGGCAATGTCTTCCTGACATTCTTTTACTCTTTTGGGAAAGGTAAAATACGATTCGGGTTACAGGGAAAATATGGTCCTTAAACTGGTCTCTGAAATCAGCAAGTAAATGTTTGAATACTCCAATATTATGCGTCTTCTTAAGCAGACTGCTTTTCCTCCACCTTTTCCGATACTTTGTGAAGTATGGGACGATCATTATTGGGAATTTGTTTAAATAGACGCAAGTGTTTTTTAGGTTAAGATCATGTCCAGTATTTCGGAAAATGAAATGATTGTGAAGTGTGCGCAACGGTGTAAACAATATTTCAAGTACCTGGACTGTGTTACTTGAGCTTTTCATTTTAGGGGTTGCGAAACTTCTCATGACGACTTTGTCTTTGCTTCCGATAAATTCTCATCAGGCCGGTACATTTATCGGAAGGGGATCGCAAGTCAAACATTCGAGCGATGGCAGAGACCGATCAAACTTCGTCATGTCATGCAAGTGAGTGTGGGAATGTGAGGGGAGGGTAAAACGTAGCAGCGAAGGTTAGGAAAAGCGGTGTCAAGGGTGGAGAACGGGGGGAGGATGCAAGGAATTGCACGCACGCAATCCCCTGCGGTATCTGAAGGAAACCAAATTAACTATTTAGGTGAGAAAAAATTGTTGAGAATGTCCACATTCCCAACAAGGAGTCGGTAAATCTCGCTAGAAAGCACGTATGCGCGTCCCCGCTGCGCGTCATGAACGCGACGTCGACCGAGTCTCCCCATTGGCTACGACCAAAGTGCCCCCCTAGAACCTGATTGGCTTGTGTCCGCGAGAAGTTGCTCGGCTTTTCTGGAACCGTCTTCTTGAAGCGGACTGGACGGAATGCTAGCCAGTCTAAACTGAATGCTATAGATACACACTGTTTTCCAGTGAGGAATGACTTGCAGGTTTGAATGCATTCCCACGCGCTTGGTCGAGCTTTGCTCCTCTATTTTGTTGCCGTCTAGGGCAACAGTCGTGCACGCATACGGTTCGCGTTATCGCTGAGTGTCAGACCGGACCACAACAAAAATACTGCCTGAAGTACAGTGTATTCTATAGAAGTGTTGGCGCCTAGATTTTGCAGTTGCTGGCCTTTATGTCCCGAACAAGCCGCGGCTATCTAAGTACACTTCTTAAACCGGTAGGAGAGCCGANTCAGTTTTGCTGGTGAAGTCTTAATCGTAGTTAGCAATTTTCTCAACTTGCTTTTTGAGCGAGTCCTCCCGCGAATCAATGTGGATGAAGTAGAACATATATAATACCCGACATAATCTTGACTTTATAACCTTAGCGATCCTGACTAAGACCTTGGACATCCTGTACAGTATACACTGGATGAAATACGCACTATTAAGCGAAATGCTTTTTTCGTTAGTTTTACACTTTGGCATAAATTCAATTACATGTCCTAGGAGGAGTGCTCATGAATTGTTCCTCCTTTTGACAAAGTTGATAGTTAAGTGTTTTTAGTAGCAAAGATTGCAATGTATGATGTTTAGAAATGTTGACGGGGAGAATGTTAGAAGACTTCGAGTAGCCCAAGAGCCTGTTTGCCTCTTACAGT